AAAAAAAAAAAAAAAAAAAAAAGAAGGAAAAATATGTCTTAAGTGCTTAATATGGGGAATTGAGAACTGCTTCTCCCTGGGACAGGGGAATACCAGCCCATGGTGGTAGTGAGCGTGGCTCAGTGTGACCCATGTGTGAGCTTTCAGCATCCTGGCCTCCTTGGTCTATGCCCGAAGGCCCTTAATGAAGTTCTTTCAACACTAAGACTGAAGAGTGACATTCATCATCCACTTCACCGTGGAACATCCTCCTAACTTAAAATCCATATCCTCTCTGACCCCCTGATTGTCCTCCCCCAGGACTGTGCCACAAACCTCTCAGATCTGTTCATTTAACATTCCTGGTCATGTTGGATAATCCCTCTAGATTTGCCCCTGTGAATCTCTCTTCCCTGGGCAAAGCAGAAGACCCATTACATTATCTTCTTCCATAAGTTAGAGCTTTCCCGTGGCCCAGCAAGTCTACTCCTAGGAAAATACAAACTGAACGTCTATGTGTCCAAACGAATCTGCACACTACGGAAGCCGGGCAGCGATACGGAAGAGTCACCACATCAAGCACACGCTCCATAGAAACATCTGAAAAACAAGCAAAACCCGTCAGAGCCAATTTTATCAGAAGGCCTGCATCGGCAAGGACTTGTAGCACCCAAAGAAAGGCGTTGGAAGGTGTGAAACCTCTGGGTTTTTACTTACGGAACTCACAGAGATGGAAAAAAAGAGCGGGAGTGCCAGCGCCTAGGAGAGAAGAGTGAGGAGTCTGTGCCCTGGGAAGTGAGAAAGTCCTGGCAGTGATGGTGACAGATGATGGCGGCAGCGGCGGCGACAATGGCAAGGCTACGTGACGGCCTGCAACGCCACACGCTTGCATGTCAACAGGCTTCAGCAGTCTGAGGATATACAGGAAGACATACTCATGAGCTCAGAACAGACTTTGGGCAACAAGCATGTGGTTTTTTTCCCCTACATATCAAGCAGTTTAGCAGTTCTTGGCAAAGACCAGCAGGGCCACCTTCAAGTCGATTCTAGTTTGATTCTTCCAGGAGGCAAAATTGAACACCGCAGAGCAGGGTGCGGGCCTCCAGATGGCCTCTGGATTGCAAACCAGGCCTCCAGAACTTCTGACTTACCAGCTGTCAAGGCTCCCATGGCCCTTCTTCAGATCGGATTAATCTGCTAGACCTGCTCATAGAATCAAGGAAACATGCTTTCTTGTTTATTATGAAGAGTACTTTAAACAACACAAATAAAACAGCTGAGGAGACATGCAGGTATCCTTCTAGAAGGGTCCTTAGCATAGGTGCTTCTATCCCCCAGGGTATCATAGCCCTCCTGGTGCGTGAGCAAGTTCTTGCTCACCTCCTGAGAGCCTCCCTGTATTCAATGTCCAGCTCTTCATAAACACTCCATTGAGGTCACGACCCTTCATGGACAGAGGTGTAGACAGGTTATTGTGCAAAGGGGCGTGGCTTTAAACCAACTGAGTGGAAAGACCCAGAAAGTCCTGTCTGTTCAGATTCCTGACCTCTGCTCAGCATTTCTTCCTGCTAAGTTTGAGGCAGGAGCCTATGAAATGGGGTCTTGTGATATGCTATCACTCCCAAGTAGGTCAGAGAATTTCTTTACGGCTAGTCCCAAGACAGAAGGCAGGATCAAATCGAGTGTGAAACTATACCCTGCCCTCAAAAGAGAGCAGAACTGGTGCAGAGATGCGGAGGGGGAGTTTGCGCTTTCTGGGGCTGCAACACTCCAAGCGTTATCACAAAACCCTTTCTCCTCATCACTGCCAGAGCTGCTCCAGAGAGCAAGGGCAAAAGGCAAACGCTTTAACAAAGACGCACTGACTGATCCAGTCATTTAGCAAATAACCAGAGCTGTAGAGGTTAGGACATGGACAAAACACAGCGTGTGTGTGTGTGTGTGTGTGTGTGTGTGCATTCTACACTTGGCCAATTGCATGTTATCTATATCGTTGTGGCCTAATTGCTTGTGTCTACTCCCAAAAATTCTTATGTTGACCTCTTAACCTCAAGTAAGGCTAAGAGGGTGGGTTCTTTGGGGTGATTTGGAAATAAGGGGGTTACAACCTTATGATTAGATTACTGCTTTTATAAAGGAGACCCTCACCCATGTGAGAAAACATTAATAATTAGATCACACTAGACATGGAACTTGGTCCCTTGATAGTGCATTTCCGTGTCCAGGACTGTGAAAAGTAAAATGTCTATAGCTCACAAGTCTACAGTATTTTATTATAGCAGCCCTGAATGGACAAAGGAATGTATTTCATCACAGTAAAAATAGTTAAATATTAGGAAAATAAGGACAGAGATAAAGGTATGACATGATGAACCACCCAAGCAATAGCTACAGCCCGTGTATTCACTTCAGATGGAAGCTCGGATGCTTCTGGTGGATCATCACGAATGTTCCCAAGAGTCCATCCAGGACCTTAAAATCCTGAGCTTGGCCTGTCCCTTGGTCAACACCAGTGTCTTACCTATCTAGCCTTTATCATCACCAATGGTTGGAGGCCAACAAGTACTGGTTACAAGTACTTTGCCCGCTGTGGCTGCAAGGACACCGTACTGGCCCTGAACACTTCTACTAACTGGGCCTTCCCTCTGCCGGGCACGAGGCCCTCTGAGAGACAGAGCTTTGACCCAGCTGCACAGGGCTCCCCTCAAAGGTCAGACATGAGCTGTAAGAGCTGAAGGACTGCCTGCCTGCCTACCTCATGACCCACTGCAGACTTCACTGGGAAGAAGAAAGCCTACCTCTTCCCACCTCTGCTCTGCTCTGTTGTCCCATTCCATAGCATCATAATCAGAACAGGATACTCTGCCATAGCAACTTCTAATACACTCATAGCATCCCATTGTTAAAAAAAAAAATACATTTCCTGGAATGACATTTCTACAGAAAATCTGACATCCTCCACCAGCATTTCTCCTTTGTGCCTTACACAGTTGTCCTGGTGGCAGGCCACACTTAAGGACAAGGGGAGCAGAGTAGAGTATGGGTGATGTTATCTTGTCCCAGCTAGGTCCTTCTTAGATCTGAGTTTACATTAAAAAACAAAATCACATACAACAATCATCTCTCAGCCTGAAAAATAGAAAACAAACAAGTAAAATGTTTAGACTCATCAAAATTCATGAATGTGTCCAGACTAGCACTCTGTTTTCTCAAAACTCACTTTGGGACACTTGATATCCCCATATCAGATGAATTTCCTGAGTATTCCTAAGCCAACACAGGATATCTAAACATTGCTTATAAAAGTTTTAAAAGGTCATTTTAGTCTGGTGTAGTGACACATACCTGTGACCAGCCTTTGGAAGGCTCAGGGAGAAATACACTAATTCTAGGCCAGCTGGCACATAATGAGACCCTCCTTCTCAAAATACAGTTTTTTAAAAATCTTGGTAATTTTGCAGTTAAGTAACCTTCCATCTTCACAAATAAGAAATTCAAACACACAGCATCTCCAATTCAAGAGAGGTGTTATCAGTGGCTTCTCAGCATAGAATGCTCTGAAGATGGGCCGTGCGCTACACACAGACTAAACTGTTAGGTACAGCGACACTGTGGTAAGGCTAATTTGCATGGTAATTCCCTTTTGAAAATCAACTTGACCACTGAAGAAGAAAAAATCGGCTTTTGCCACAGCTGGCCAGCTGCAGCCTGCGTGTTTTCAGACTGCCAACCTAGAAATCTGATTGCAAATACTTAATTACAGGGCCCTTTGTTTTAGGAAGTAAAAGCTAGGCTTAACCTTTCTTTTACAGGAAAAAGGGAGATAAATTTGATGCTTTGAAAGGTGGATGATTCATGGAGAATAATTTTACTTTGTTTTAAGGGTGTGACTGTGCTCAGGGCAGGCTTCACACCCAGGAGAGTTTGGGTGACATAAATCGGACTCCATGGTTTGGAGAGAGAAATGACAGAAAGAGTTGAGTGGGTGGGGAGAGGAGGAGGGGAGGGAGAGTCTGGAAGGAGATTATGATAAAAGTATGTTAATTTCACAAACAATTAATAAAATGTTATTTTTTTAAGAAAGTGATTAAGAGCTGGAGAGCTAACTCAGAGTCTGAGAGCATGAGCTGCTCTTGCAGAGGTCCTGAGTTCGGTTCCTAGCCCCCTCATTAGATGGCTTACAAACCACCTCTAACTCCAGCTCCAGGGGATCTGACACTTCTTGCCTCTGTGGCCACGTCCACTCATGTGCTCATACCCATGCATAGACACACATAACTGAAAAAATAATGAAAATAAATCTTTTCTCAAAAAAGATTAATTATCACCCTAGTTACGTGTTGTAGTAAATGTTCAGCAACAATGTTAACCACAGGGCAGGTGGAGAACTGTCAAGGATCCAAGTTCTTTGCTCACAGTCCCTGGAATGCACCTTCTTTTTTACTTATCCATTTAAAACAATTGCTATAATCCTTGATAATATGCTTAATTGGGTTCAAATAAAAAATTAATTATTTTGAAATACTACTTCAAAGAGAGAGAGAGAAGAAAGAAAGTTACCCTCTACACAACCAATAAAATATCTTCCACATTTAGGTTTGTACCAACACTGTTTGCTTAGCAAGTTGAATGAACCTAACATTTTACTAAGTTTAAAAATAACTTGAGAGGGCTGGGATACAAATGAGTGACAGAGCACTTGTTCATCACATTCCTACTCTGGATTTGTGTCCCAACGCACACACAAAAAGAGTTTTGCCTTTTTGACAGCTCTAGTAAACTAGCAGAATGAACATTGAACCACAAGAAAGTGTATGAAAACTACAGACAGGTAGACATGAAGAACCAATGACAGACAGGTAGACATGAAGAATCAACCACAGACAGGTAGACATGAAGAACCAACCACAGACAGGTAGACATGAAGAACCAACCACAGACAGGTAGACATGAAGAATCAACTACAGACAGGTAGACATGAAGAATCAACCACAGACAGGTAGACATGAAGAA